ATGGCACCTGGTGTTTCTGGCCACTGTGTGATACAAAGTGTTGGACTGGATGGGCCTTTGGCCTGATCCAACATTGGTGTCTCTTATGTTCTTACATTCTTATGTACCTGGGTCACAAACTTAGAATCATGGAGCTGGAAGGGGCCATAGAAGCCATCTAGTCCAACCCCCTGCTCAGTGCAGGACCAGCCTAGAGCATCCCTGACAAAGTGTGGGTCCAGCCGCCGCTTGAAGGCAGCCAGTGACGGGGAGCTCACCACCTCCCTAGGCAGCCGGTTCCAGTGCTGAGCTGTGCTTACTGTAAAAAGAAAAAAATCTTTTCGGAACATCCAGTCTCGTCTTGCTTGATGCTTCTGTCGGAAGTATCGGCCACGTTGTAGAGCTCAGAAGTGCAGCAGACCCGTGAGAAGAAATAACGGCGTAGAAAGTACTATTTTGGCCGTCAGCACCCACCCCAAAAGCCCGGTTTTGAAAGATTCCCGGGGCACACCGATTAAAAGCTCTTCTTGCGGAGATTCTCCTGGGTCATTAAATGTTGGGTGAGGCCCCCCCCGCATATCTGGATGCTGTTGGAACACTCTCCCATGGGAAGCGAGGGGAAGCTTGTTCCTCGGAGATGGGTTAAAATTAGACTGGAAAGAGTATGGGAAAATGTCCACCAGAAGCCTGGCCCGGTCAGAGGGGATCGGCAAAGGGTGCCGTTATTTTGGAGAGCAAAGTAGGTAGTGCCCATAGCGAATGTGGGGCCCGGCTCCCTAGCGTTTCTTCCGGGGCCCCTCCCTCCCGGCCCAGCCCCCAAATTGAAATTAATTTTGATCTAATTAGCTGCACCTTCCCACCTCAAGGCCCCCTCCCCAAAAAAACCCTAGCTACGGGACTGGAAGTAGGTTTCTCCTGATGAGTTTGGTTCCGGCTGAGGTTGTTGACGCGTATGACAGTGCCAGGGACCAGACCCAGAATGTGCATTGCCTGGACCTCGGGGTCACTGTAGTGTGGCAGAGGGCCAATGATCCCAGTGCACCAAGCAGAAGATACTGGTCTGTTGACCAGGCGAGGGCAAAGGGACCAAGTGCTTTATATTCCTGCTCATCTTGTCCAATCCAGGGGCTTCATACTACCTGCCAGTCACAGGGGCTGATGACGCACACGCCTACTCCCCCATGTGCTGGGAAAGGACTCTGGGACCTGTGGGTGTGTGAGTTCACTACAAGGGCAGCATCGGAACAGGGTCCTCACATCCTGCCAATCCCGGGTCAGAATGGGGAAGGGGGAGT